GTAGTTGGCTTTTTAATTGAGTCATGTTTCTGACTATAGTATCTCTCTCCTGTAATTTTGGTCAAAATAGGCTGTTGAGACAGAAATTGTTTTGCAATATACAGTATGTTGTCAGGGTCAAGCTGAAGGAAATCAGTGGCAGAAGCAGCAGAAAACAGCCAGATCAAAATGTATTTTGCCTCTATTGATATAGCGTAGGCTGATATTTTTTTTTAATTGAGTCATGTTTCTGACTATAGTATCTCTCTCCTGTAATTTTGGTCAAAATAGGCTGTTGAGACAGAAATTGTTTTGCAATATACAGTATGTTGTCAGGGTCAAGCTGAAGGAAATCAGTGGCAGAAGCAGCAGAAAACAGCCAGATCAAAATGTATTTTGCCTCTATTGATATAGCGTAGGCTGATATTTTGCAAGTGTGGAGTAATCACAGGGAAAAAAAACAAGAACTGTGGTATCCTGCCTCTGCATGTAATGTGATTACCATCAAAGAGTGAAATGGAAGCAGCTGAAGGAACAAATCCAAAATCACCCTGAGACACCATGGCAACTGGCCCCTTGCAGGGACAGCAGGAAGCAGGGCCTGGCCATGTCAAAATAAAAACTACTTGGAATGACCTTCTGCTTGCTGAGAGCTCAGTGCTTGCTTAAACCTGATGGTCCCAGGGAAAATTGTAACATGTTCAGTGCATAGTACAACTCCCCACTGAAAGCCTGAGCCCTTAGGAAACTGGACAGAAGGAAAAGATTGTGGAAAATGCTTAAATATTTGGATACCACAGATGTATTCATGCAGCAGGATGGAGGTACTGTTTACATATTATCCTTGGAGTGTACTTAGAAGAATGTAAGATCTTGGGAATCACAATTATGTCTGTTCTATAAGAGCAGTGAGTAATAATAGTGCTGTGTCTATCTATGAAATTGAAAAATAATTTTGTGTACATGTTTTGTTCACAGGAGGGATTGGAGTAGCATTTTCATGCCAGCACCTACATTATTTCTAGAAAGATTTTATGGCAGAGAACAGTGCTTTTCAATAAAATACAGATTTCACATCTGGTGCAGCTAATATATACTGTGCTAAAAAATTTCCCTGATGAGTTATATCCACTTAAAATGCTTTTTCAGAATAATATATGCTCTATTTCTTCTTGAAATTTACCCTGCAAAAATGAGCCACCTGGGTTACCAAGGCTTTTAAGGATATCTTTTTCTGTTGTTTTCTTTTGGACTGATTTTTAGATATAACACTTACAGAATTTTACATTTAAAAAAAAAGAGGCTAAAGTAGACCTGCCACATTTAAAAAAAAAAGAGGCTAAAGTAGACCTGCAAATAAATTAAGTCTGTTAGTTGTGAAGACTAATAAAAATCATTATGAATTTTCAGGTTGACCATGGAGATGCACCATCTGAAGCTCACAATGAACCTAGGCCAACACCAGCAGAAAATGGAGTAAATTACACTGCCTCTCTTACACCGAAGCCAGCAACTCAGGTTGTCCATAGCCAACCAGCACCAGGTAAAAAACAAACAAAAAAAAAAAATCCCAAAGGAAAAGTTACAGAAGTGCCATCTTTTCAAAATAAATCTGGATGATAATTTTTGAAGTGCTTTGTGTTTAAAGGACAAAGGCTGGGAAGAGATTGTGTGTGTTTGTTTGTATACAATAGGTAAAGACTTTTCCATCACTTTTCTGTGCTGTCAGGGCTAGCCTTCTTCAAATATCCAAATATCTTTTACTTAAGAGTTGCTTTTGTGGTGAAACTGAAGTTCATTACAAGCAAGAAAATGTGCTGAGGTTTTTGTTGTTGTTACAAGTGCAGGAATCTCTTTGAATTGCTTTTGCAAATGTGCCTAACTTAGTCGCATAGTTACATCTTACTCCACACACAAAATACAGTCTTGTATTGACATATCTCCTATAACAAATGCTTGTTAAACCACAGTGTTTATAATTTTATGACTGCAGTCTTCACAGCTTGATCTAACTGACTTCCAAGGAGCTGGATTCATCTTGCGTACAGAAATTTTGCATTGACATCCTAATTTAGGGCAGTTGTACTAACTGTCAGACTAATGCCAATTAGATGACTCATATGAGGGGTATCTATCAGTGAGCACAATAACATCCTCCTTGTAAGTAAAACAACAAAACTCAGGTGGGTTTTTTGGAAGGTCACCTGTTTGTGTTGGTTGGTAGGGTTGATGTTGTTTTCCAGCTCAAGATGTGTTTTCTCAAATGATTAGTAACTGCCCATGTCAGTGTATGTCCTGTGTCACCTGCCACAATCAAGCAGCACAATAACAGCTGTTTTGAAAGAATTGGAATTACTCATCTCTCTTACTTCTAGGTTCGGTGAAAGCACCTGCAAAGACAGAAGATCTTATTCAGAGTGTCCTCACAGGTAATAAATGTACTGTTTACATGAAATAAATGGGTTTTTTTGTTGAGAGAAACATGTTTTTTCTGAACTAGGTCACCTGGCTTGGACATTTGTTTGACTGATTAGGACTGCAGTAAGTCATAGCCATGTTTTCTTCCTCAGCTTTGAAATTATTAAATGTTTGAACAATTTCATGAGATTCGGTGCCAACGGGGAATTTTTTTGAAATATCCCATCGGTGTAGTTTTACAAGCACCAAGTTCCCATCTAATGCACACAGAAGACCAGCAATATTATGAGAACGGGAGCTAAATTTGCTCTGATATTGTGAATAGCAGTGAAACCATTTTATCTTCATTAGCCTTGCAGTGTTCCCACTGCTCCTACAAAACTGAACACTACTGTTAACATTAAGCAGCATGTCCTGTCAGTTGGTTAGGGCCCTACTGTTCGCTTGGGTGTCATGTCCTCCAGCTTGGAGATGATTTAGATTGCAAATCTCATAAATCAGTTGGTTTTATAGTTATTCTTCTGCATTACAACATACTTCATGCCCAAATCTTGTGCAGACCTGCATTCGGGTGTGGACAACAGGTAAGACACACGACATTCTTCATGTTGATTGCCTCTTACTCAGTCTCCCTCATGTGCAGTAGAAAGAGACTGGCCTAGAGTGTGGGAGTGCCTGCTGGCCTCATACAATCCATCTGTTGTCTGGGAAGGGGCCTTCAGTCTGGCTTTTCCAGAGATGTGACCCCAGGTCATGCAAGTCATCATTCCTTCCAGTGCATTTTTTTGTGGAGTTTTTTGGTTTTGGGGTTTTGTTTTATTCTGGTTTGGGGTGAGCTTGTGCAGGTCAGGTTGGCAGACCCTGAGCTTGAGCTGTGGTCTGAGTTCACAGAGCAGGATAACTTTCAGAGCTACTGCTGGAGTGACAGCACTGTAGCTTACCCACAGTAAATAAGCAGGCTCTGTTTCATTCCTGC